GTGGTGGTGGTGGTGGTGAAGGCTTTGGCTTCGGTAAAGGGGTAGGATTCGGAAGCGGGGTAGGGTTTGGAAGTGGATCTGGTGGTGGTGGTGGTGGTGAAGGCTTTGGCTTCGGTAAAGGGGTAGGATTCGGAAGCGGGGTAGGGTTTGGAAGTGGATCTGGTGGTGGTGGTGGTGGAGAAGGCTTTGGCTTCGGTAAAGGGGTAGGATTCGGAAGCGGTCATGGAAGTGGATCTGGGAGTGGTGGTGGAGGAGGAGGAGGATTTGGAAGTGGTCATGGAAGTGGATCTGGTCGTGGTGGTGGAAAAGGCTTTGGTTTCGGTAGTGGGGTAGGACTTGGAAGCGGTCATGGAAGTGGATCTGGGGTGGTGGTGGTGGTGGAAAAGACTTTGTCGTCGGTAACGTGGGAGGGTCTGGATATGGTTCTGGTAGTGGTTTCAGCGGTAGTTCTGGCAGTGGTATTGGTAGTGGAATTGGACATGGTGTTGGAAGTGGAACAGGAGGTGGAATTGGACTGGGTGGTAGCAGTAGTAATGCAGTAAGAGGTGGTTCTAGTAGCAAGGGTAGTAATGAACACGGATTTGGACAAGGAAGTGGAGTGGCTGGTGGAGATGGTAGTAAGAGTAGCAATGAAGATGGAATTAATTTAGGTGGTAACAGTGGACATGGAATTGTACTAGGTGGTGGCAGTGGTCATGGTAGTGGAGCAGGTGGAGGCAGTGGACAGGGAATTGGACTAGGTGGTGGAGGTGGTACTCATGGAGGTAGTGGTCATAGTAGTGGAGTGGGTGGCGGCTTTCTCCATGGAATTGGACTAAGTGATAGCAGTAGACACGGTGGTGGAGCCGCTATTGGCGAAGGCAGCGGTTATGGTAGTGGAGTGGGTGGTGGCATTGGACATGTAATTGGACTAAGTATGGCAGTGGAACAGGTGGAGGCAGTGGACATGGCATTGGACTAGGTAGTGGCGTAGGTGGTGGAGCTGGCACTGGTGAAGACAGTGGTCATGGTAGTGGAGTCGGTAATGGTGGAGGCAGTGGTTATGATAGTGGAGTGGGTGGCGGCATTGGACATGGAATTGGACTAGGTGGGGGCAGTGAACACAGTGGTGGAACAGATGTAGGCAGTGGATATGGAATTGGACTAGGTGGTGGAGCTGATGTCTTTGGAGACAGTGGTTATAGTCGTGGAGTAAGCAGTGGGACTGGTGTTGGTGGAAGCAACACATTTGACAGTAGAGGACACTCATTCGAAGACTTTCATCCTCTACTGAATTGCGTCTACTCTTGCACTCTAAGACGTTGCAACCTTTTTAAATGTCATTATAAGTGCTTACCTAAAGGGGTATGTTCGTCTTCAGCAAGTGGAAGAGACTGGGGACGTAAAGGAGCTGGTTCAGATGGTATGAAATGTTTTTTATTGTACTTTTCTTTCCATGTCTAATAATATACTCTTATCATCTTAATAATTTTTCAAACTTATAAAAAACCACGGAATAAAGTAACTGCAATTGTATTTTTTATTCACTTGTATAATTCATCTCATGCACATTTAGGAAAACATAAACAGTTCAGTGACATTATCTAAATATATTGAACAGAAAAGTTATCTGGTCTTTAAATGTGTAATCATATGACACCGTTTCTTTTAGCAACCAAGCCATTGGAAATCACGAAGCCTGCCTCAGAAAAAGTTGACTCATTTGAGTATACACCTCCACACTAAGGTACGTTAGCTCAAGATACAGAGACCACACATTCATACTAGTTGAGCTAATGAGACATACTATTCATCAAAAGTAATAAATTTAGAAGAAATGATATAAATAATAGTTATGATGCACATATTTAAAATTACTATTTAACGAAGACATAAAACATAATTTCTATGGAGTTTTGAGTCCATTTCATTTCACCATATAGTAACCTAAATTGATTTCGGTATGTGAATAATGTTATGACATTTCTTCAAAGAATGCATTAGGCTCTTATGTTACAGATTCTCTTTTCAATTTTACCGCTTATGAAGAAGAAAAGAATTTTTTGACACACATACACAATCATAAAACATAATTATAGTTGTCTAGTATGGTTAGAATGAAAAAGCCATCATATTTTTTACCTGTCGAATGAAGCTCATTTCAAGTTAACTTAGGACTAATGCTTTCACACTTGATTAAGAATTTACGTTTAAGCTTGTTAGTCACATTTTAAATCACCTTAAGACTAAGGCTTTCACACTTGGTTAAGTATTTAATGTTTAAGCTTGTTAGTCATATGTTAAGTTAAAACTAAGACTCGCACAGTTGTTTAAGTATTTAGCATTTCAATTTGTTAGTCACAATACACTTTTAACCTTTCAATGTTTCCCTTATTTAAGATAGAGCTTATAATCTAATTATGGCATTGGAATAACATTAAGTGTAACAACCTAGTAGGAGTTTACTTTATAAATAACTGAATGAACTGCGAATTCTTAAAAAAAGTTATTTTTTACATGCACCTGAAAACAATTTAGGTTATTTTCAATATGTATTTTAACTTCTTTGAGTAAGTATAAGCCTCGTCTTGATGTAAGTGTGAAGTTAACACTTCGAATACAAGAAAAAGTTATTGTCCCTATTTTAATTAAGCAAATGACATAATCCACTATTTGTCAATTAAACATTAAATAAAATCAAGAGAAAATCAGGAAACCTAATTAGCAATTTCAACGATTTTCACAGTGTAAGCCTTTTATTTCGTTTAAATATGAAAAGTATTGCCTTCTATTCCATTTGTGCGATAAAGAGTTTTTGCTCGTTTCACATTGCTTTAGATTATTTTAGCAACTTGATTATTGAAAATAGTGAAGCACCTATTGTATATCAGTTCCTTGAACTATTAGTAACTTTATTTGTCTTTTCAGTGACATCGCGAAGGGAACATTCCAGCGAAATCTTTGAAGGTAACACGGCCCTTAAAAGGAACGGGCATAGTGTAAAATGCAAGATGTCTAGAAAATTCAAATACGTGTAACTTATAAACTGCCATACCTTTCAATGTTTTTTTTTATAAATAAACTTGTTTCCATTGCAAGAACATATATAATGGATATTTATTTCTTTTGTTGTCAGAAGCATCTATGTGAAGGAAAACTATGCAAGCATATCATATATTTCAGAATATATTAATCTTTAGAGGTATAACTATTTTATAAGTCGAGAAAACTTTCGTAGAACACACAGAATGTTTTGTATTCCATTCGGAGTTTTTTAATAGACACTTCCCATATTATAAGTCAGAAGGACTATTAGTGAAAATTATGCAGTTTAATAAACATTTGATCAGGTATTTACTTCTTCAAAAATACTTGTTTTCACTAACGGTTGCTGATACAAATACGGGTACTGGATTGTTTCCACGTTTGTGAACAAATGAATGATGGACTGAAAAAAATATTCTGTAAAGTAAAATAAGCATGAAAAACTTAAAGCTTAGACGCACTACTTTCTGGAAACTTTTCAAAACCACTAATTTGTTTTTTGTTGTTTTGTTTTTTTTGCCAAACCTCAGTTACGAATAACCGAAAACACATTGTTTGTGATTTGTTTCCATAAATTTGTGACGTTAAGTGAATCTGGCTTACGGTAAACATTTTGCATATTTGTAATTTTCTTGATTTCTTTATTCTAATTTCAAACTATATGTTTTGGTCATTCGACTTTACAATGACCAGTATACGATATCAAATTCTGGAATGATTGTTTACTATATTGGAAATAAAACGACCTTGGTAGTATGACAAGTAAACTTGGCAGATGTGTCTACACAAAATTTAAAGCAACCATACAACGACGAAGTACTGATTTTGAATCGTTGCTTTATATATATATTGGCTTAGTCTGGAGTCATCGAAATCTTCGTGAGTTCAGTCTTTATTTTACTTTGTATCAAAAGCTTTGTGTTATTAAGCATTATACGTGAATCTTCGTCTTGGCAGTGAAAAAAGTAATTAACTTGCTGCGACGTATACAAATGCAAAATAACTTCGATACAGGTGAGTAATTACAATTTTTGCACTGCAATGAAAACAATAAACTACACTAAACACAAAATAGTAAAGTTCGTTCTTTACAAATCCTGTAAAATGTATTTATCAACAACCGCATTTTATTATAAATATTTTCAATGAAAAGCAATTTATTTCCATCACCGTAAAACAATTAATGTGAAATCCCAAGTTGTATGTTCCTGATTTTTTTTTCTTTTTTAGTAAGAGTGTGTTATTATCAAAAATTCAAATAAGTCGCTGTAACCTGATATACGTGTTAAGCCTACATCTGCAAAACAAATAGTTACGAATTTCAATAAAAAAGGAAATACTGAGTTCAGGAAAATGTATTTTTGATTACTAGGAGTGGCTTGTAACAAAAAAAACTTTAATAGACTTATTTTCATTAATTTAAAGTGGGCCGTGAATAATTAAATATTTAAATGGAAGGAAATATCAAAATCAATATATATACACACGTGAGTGATATTTTTCTGTTATTGGAGGCTATTTCTAACTATATATAACTGTAACATATGAGTTCGAAAGACAAGAAGAATGAAAACGCTTTAATATATATTGAATTCTAAAGAGCAGCATGTGTCGTAAACGATCGAATCTTCTTATATAAAGAATGGCATATTTACGTAACCTTGAATGACCACTGGGGAATCAAATTTTATTTCACTCCCAGGAGTCATCTCAGGATAATTATGTATATAAAAGAATCAAAACGGTACTTTCAAATTACTCTGGAATAAAAATAAGCACACAAAAATAATAATTTATAAATTATGAATAATGATACATTTTAGGTTGTAAACCGTCGTAAACAAATACCGCCAGCCATTGATTTTATTCGACAAATTAGCTTCTTCATCAATTATGAATAACGATAAGTTTTAGGTTGTAAACCGTCGTAAACAAATACCGTCAGCCATTTATTTTATTTGACAAATTAGCTTCTTCAGCAATTATGAATAACGATAAGTTTTAGGCTGTAAACCGTCGTAAACAAATACCGTCAGCCATTTATTTTATTCGACAAATTAGCTTCTTCATCAATTATGAATAACGATAAGTTTTAGGTTGTAAACCGTCGTAAACAAATACCGTCAGCCATTTATTTTATTCGACAAATTAGCTTCTTCATCAATTATGAATAACGATAAGTTTTAGGTTGTAAACCGTCGTAAACAAATACCGTCAGCCATTTATTTTATTCGACAAATTAGCTTCTTCATCAGTACGTAAGATATATATAAAAAATGCTTTGAGTATTTGACTAATATCTACCCAACAAATTAAGCAAAGATACGTGTATTGTAATTATTGTGGTATGATAATCAAAAGAAAGTTGCAGCTTTAGTTCAGACTGTAGATAAAACGTAATTCAACATGAGAAGGATATTTTTTGTAATCCAGCAGGTGTTTTTTTTTACGAATTATTTAGTTAAAGAACTTCAAGTAATCCAATGAGCTAATATAAAATAATTTTGATCCTAAAATAAAACACTTAACAAATATACTATATGGTACTGATTGCAAAGAAAAGAAGGAAATGTGTCAAAATAAATAAATATTTATATAATATAAATAAGAGCTTTGGTAGCATAGACACTCTAACACTGTTCGAACCGGTTGTTTTTCCGTACATGTGAAACCAAGAGAAGTTCATATACATCTTTTAACAGTAATATATCATGTGTGAAGCACACTCAAAGGTTTGTTTTCAGTTTATCTGTCGTACGTGTAATACAAGTGGCGTGAGGATAAACGGCTTCACAATGCGGCGACATTATTCTTGAGCTAGACGCGCATCGTCAAGGGTTTTTGTTTTTGTTTTTATGTTTCTGAACTTTCCAACGAAAGGTGGCACTGGAGAATTACTGCTTATTTGACCTTGAACTAAAATGTTCTTTAGTAACATTAGTTATGTAAATGTTTAGGGATAATTACAGACTACAACAATATTTTACCTCCAATGAGAACTACGATAAATAAATCATAAACACTTTTACGTTTAATGTATTTTTTGGTTAAAATAGGGCATATATTTGAATAGCTGCATGTTCCAGTGGCTCGGCGGTGCGCTTCAGCGCTTATCTCTATAAAAGTTAGGATTTGATCCTTCCGATGGGAACATTAGACAGCTCATATAACAAAGAAACATAGATAAATAACTAATAAATTGAGTCATGTGTATCAATCTTCCCTATATCAATTTCAAAACAAAAATACCACTAGATACTGGTTTTGACTAGAAAGATGAAACATATTAAAGTATATATATTAATATCTATTGGGTAAAAATTATAATATCAAGTGGAAATTTCCACATTAACTTAGCAAGACATAAAATTACAAGTAACACTGTCCTTGATCCACATACCTTGTTCCTAGAATTTAGCTAACCTACATCCATTCCTTAATATAGCGTTCTTTTTTAAGCTACATTTCATTTCTTTGAAAAGGCTTCCCTTCAAAAGTAATTTAGAATTGTCGTCAAGATACCTTGTAAAACTATTAGAATTAATTATCGAGGTGAATCGTCGAGAAAGCATTTATCTGGTTCATTTAATGAGACAATAAACTGTAATTCCTCTTGTACAGAAACTTCTCTTTACCAGAAAACAGGTCCCCAAGTAGCACAGCGGTGAAAATATTTACCTTTTGTCATTGGTACAGTGATACTCCTTTGATTAAAGCGCAGTATTACATCACTGAAGTACACATCAGCATATGGAAACTTGTCCTGCCAGTAAGGTGAAAATATTTACCTTTTGTCATTAGTACAGTGATACTCCTTTGATTAAAGCGCAGTATTACATCATTGAAGTACAATTTGGAAATGTTTATTATGTTACTTATCAATAAACAAAGCATTACGTGTAACCGCATCGACACAAGATTCTAGACTATCCTTATGAGTGTGCAAGTTAGCTTCGTGTTTTCTTATGGTAATGTAAGTTACTGTATCAGCTGATTATGGTAAATGTAAGCTACTGTATCCGCTAATAACAACAGAAAGCCAGAAAATACGTAAACTAAATAGTCATTATTAGCTAGATGCTCATGTATTTCTTCCGGTCCTTCTATTTCCTCTGTCTATATATATATATATATATATATATAATAACTATTAATCGTGTTTTGAATTTATTGTTGCCTTTGAAGGAAAATTGTCGATCATTAGTGCTGTCTCTTTTTTTCTTTCTTTCTAGAGAACACTAACATTAACATTAGTAATATTAGCTTTTATTAATTAAGGAGAATATATTAAATTTATATTTCTGCCATATTACAATATTTAAGTGACTGGTTAAACGTGTGTATGATTGACAACGATGTTGAATTTAATAATATTGTTTAATCGTTAGAAGAAATACAGGTAAATAAACTAGTTAAGTTTCACGTTTAATGGTATTCTAAGTAATTTACTTTGTAACTTATTTTCAGACAGTATAGCACCCCCCAGTATCTCAGCGGTAAATCTGAGGGCTCACACCGTAAAAAACCGGTTTTCGATACTCGTGGTTTGCACAGCACAGATGGCTTATTGTGTAGCTTTGCGCTTAACAACAAACAGACAATCAGACAATATAACTGAGTTCACTTTACTTCTATATAGATTTATATACCAGTGTTTGTTCTTTTATCAAATACAGACATCGTTAAATTAAACGAACTTAAATAATTTTTATTATTTTCTATATAAACGAACCATGTCATTAGACGTTTTTAATAACTATTTCTGTAATCTTTTTTTTTTCAAACTCCTTTTTCTTCCTAAATGTTTCAAACCATTTTCATAAATTTTCCTGCTGTTTAAGAATCATACATCATTTTTTACTACCATTTATTCCCTTTTACATAAGATTATTTTATTTCTCAATGAATTTTATATTTAA